GGGGGGGGGGGGGGGAAATAAAGTGGTTAATTTTAAAAATAAATCATGGTTTATCATTAAACCCCCCCACCTCACTTCCAATAAATAATAGGAAATGCTTTGCTCTTTAAAAGTAATTTGCCATAAAATTTAAAAGTGTGGAACTTACCCAATATCTTCCTCCCAACGCCCAAAATAATTTTTTTTTTTTTTATATCAAATTTTTAATTAAAAAATTAAAGTTACAGTCTTATAGGAACGTCGTTCCCTTGTGTTCATGCAGGACTCAGACACAATAAAAATATCAGTACTAATTTTGTTTAATCTTGCAGGAATTAAATGATTTTTAAATAAATATTTTTCAGTTTTAACAAGAGTATAGCATTAATTCTACAAGTATTGGTTAGGCCTAAAAGTTAAAGACTTGCAAAGACCATGGTTTTGCTGCTTAAATTTACTGCGGTGTCTGCAGGCCACAGCCAATGATTTTGCTAGGTACACCACCAGGGTATATGCAGGCCACAGCCAATTGTTTGTCTAGGTACACTGCTGCGGTGTATGTAGTGCCGACCTTCTAATTTATTGTCTTTTTTAAATTTTAATTTAATTAAAAAATATTTTGCAATTGATTTACAAAGAATTACAAATAAAATATAAAACAAAAAACAAATACTAATAATAGAATGACTACATAGTAACAGACAGTGAGTTTAATTTTATAACCCATATTTGTAGTCATTCATTGTAGAGTATTTGTATGTGACAAGAAGTCTAAAATAACTTAATTATTTTATTATTTAGTGTTATTAGAATGATTATTAAGTTAAATTTTAAAATCACTGAGATAAATTTCACTCTTAAAAAATCCAACTTATGACAAATACTCTCAAAACCCTATAAATAAATAACAGCAAATTTGCATTAAATCATTAGATAATTAGCTACCAGGTTGCTGTTTAATAAATCAAATGCTATAGCCTAATGTTACACAGTGAATAATTCGAAGAAAATGGAGTGATGCCCAACGGGGGGGGGGTGGTGCGGGGGATATAATGCTCCGTATGCAGGGATTATTTTAGGGGGGGGGGGGGGGGGGGGGTTGGTG